CATCTCTGCCTCCAACACAGAGCCCTCGTCCAAGCCTTCACCAGCCTCCAGGACTGGCCCATGCTCCTCCCCAACCTCCTCACTGTCCGACTCTGCTGCCAGCCCATTGGCTGCTGGCGGGCCACAACATCATCCAAATAACCTTATATTTATAGCACAGAGACAAGTTTCTCAGAGCAATGCATTTCTCCCATGGGAAAGGTATTGTGGGGATAATATTGTCTCCTATGTTCAACATTATACAGGCAATTCAGAGCCAAGCCCTTAAGGGTGTTGACGTTGTAAATCTGCTGTGATGATCCCAGCATTCTTCAAAGCCAATGGGCTTCTTTGAAGAGGGTTGGGGTAATGCCAATGCAAATATTATGATGTCATTGCATTCTGCAACTTGCACCTGAAGTCGTGATACAGGTGTTGTATAAAACTGCAACATTTGATGATGACAACCTCCAATGCAAGTTATTATTTATTTTTTATTTCATTTTATTAGTTTGCCAAACGTGTACAAGATAGCAGGCATAGGTATGAACATGGACATGAATAAAGGAAATGAATACAAATAAATGGGGACTGTAGGAAGGGACGGTAGGCACGCTGGTGTGCGTGTGCAAAACCCCCTTTACAGATCTCTTAGGAATGGGGTGAGGTCCACGCTAGACAGTTTGAGATTGAAGCTGTGAGGGGTTGGAGCTGTGAGGGGTTGTAACAACAAAGGATGTAACAACTTTGTATATTAAATATAAAAGATTTTCCTATCAGTCGTATCTGACTCTGGTTTTGACTGGGGTTTCAAACCCGGGCTGTCAGCTCTCCAGCTGATACGCTCAGCATCTTCAACCCTGAGCCATCGCGCTTCAACCTTAGTTCAACATTATTTCTACATTATTATGGTTTGCTATCAGTGCCACTGCCAAAGCCTTGCGTTTGGACCCAAATTTAACTGAAAGCCCTCCCATCTTTTCCATCCTTTGAAAGCTGATTTATTTCTCTAGAAGGCCACAGCATAAGGCAACTTGTTTTTATCTCTTTATAGATGAGAACATGCCAACTGCTCCAGATCACAACAGCTGTTCAGGAAAAGATTTTTTTTTTCTATTCAGGTAATCAGTGTAAACTGTTTGCAGGAGAACAATATCTCCTCTCCTCACAATTCTGGAGAATATTTCTTCTACTTTTTGGTTCTGCTTTGTGGCGGGGGGGAGGCGGGGTGAGTCACATGAAAAAGAAAAACATGCACATTTGAAATCCACAGAGCCTCATGAATTCATTCAGGAAATTGTCTGACACAGACAACACCATGAACTGCTTCAAAGGCTTAGCAATAATTCATCTGCCTTTATGCGTGAGTTCGTAACCTTCTCATCTCTTTCACTCCGATCCCAACCGCATTGCCAAACAGTTTCATCAATTATCTATGGCGAAAAAGTGGACTTTAACATTTGGAGAGTGTTATTAATTGGCCTCGGTAGTGCCTAATGAGTTTGAAAGCTCCTACCTGCCGGTCCCCGAGGAGGATGGCTACTTGCGGACAACAATTTACAGCACACCATTAACACATATGCCAGGAACAGCCACTGAGATGGAAGCATTGATTTGGCACAGGAACTCATCCTGCAGAAAAGGAGGGCAGGGGAGTGGGGGGAGGAGGAGGAAAGAGCTGAGAATGAAAGAACAATAATAATTTGGGAACAGGGTAAAATACAAGGCAAAAGCTATAAAAAGGGGTGGGAGAGGAAAAGTTAATGAAGACTGGAAATTAAATGAAACGGATTAATAAAAACATAATACTTAAGGGGGTAGAATCACATTCAAACCTAAACCGAGGTCGATTCTTAATCAGTCATGCTTTATAAGAAAGGATGAAGAACAGCACATCTTTTCTTTCCAATTTCTGTCTCTGGAGATGCTCTTTGTCTGATTCCATTATGAGGCTGAGACTATGAGCTCGGTCTGGTTCATTATCAGACTTTTGAAGACACTTACCCCGTCACCAAATAACATCCAAAGGAGGCAATTTTTGGGAGGAGCCTATTCCAAGAAGACCTCAAAATGCAGGTAGTCCTCAACTTAACAACCACAATTGAACCCAAAATTTATGTTGCTAAGTGACACATTTGTTAAGTGAGTTTTGCCCCATTTTCTGACTTTTCCAGCCATAGTTATTAAGTAAATCATTGCACTTGTTAAATTAATAACTCAGTTGTTAAGTGAATCTGCCTTCCCGATTGACTCTGCTTTCCAGAAGGTTGCAAAATCTGGGGATACTGCAACTGTCATACATATGAACCACTTGCTGAGCATCCAAATCAGTTAACATGAGGATGCGGCAAATAGTCATAAGTGTGAAAAATGGTCATAAGTCACTTTTTTCAGTGATGTTGTAACTTCACAGTCACTAAATGAACTGTTGTAAGTTGAGGACTATCTGTACCACCATTGGGGGGGAGGCCTTTTTTTCACTGATAAAGCAATTTTAGAAAATGGTGGGGATGATGCCCCTGATGAAGGAAAAAAGAACAAATCCGGTACTAGAAATAATTTTGATCAGCTAGAAGACATGATAATGAACAAACTCATTCATCTAAATTCTGATAACAGGTGTTCTGTACCCATTGACAGCTGTTTTGGGAATTGGCAAAGCTCAACACGCAGAATTTTTTGAGATAACACCTACAGTCTACTTTCAAACTTCCAAAGAGACCAATCCAAAAAATTTACTAGTCTGTTGTACATTCTCAAGCAAAAAAAGGAAGGGAGAGAGGGAGGAAGGGAGGGAGGGAGGGAGGAAAGAAGGAAGATTCACAGAAAAAAGAGCAGCAAAGATTTAGAATGTTTTGAATCTCTTCATTTCTACCTATTGATTGCCTAGACTGTTGCAGCCATGATCAAAAGTTAATGAGCAACAATTAATTAGAAATTGTTGTATGTCTGGATTAAAGATTTTTTCTGGTTATTGTTAATTAAAAAGTGCTTTTATAGTGAAACAGTATAATCAGGAAGTATAGATTCTATTGTCATAAAATATAATTTATTAATATCTAGCATTCTTACACAACATTATTTAAGAACTTGACTATATTGTGTTTTTCAAACTTGGCAACTTTAAGATGAGCAGACTTCAACTCTCAGTATTCCAAAGCTGGCTGGGAAATTCTGAAAGTCTAAGTCCACATATCTTAAGTTGCCAAGTCTGAAAAACCCTGGGGTAAATGGCCCACAAACTCCTTCCAATGCATAGATCTTATTTATGATTTAAAGGAATACTGAGCAAAAATCAAGTAGAAACCTATTTGCAAACCTCATTCCACCACAATCAAGCACAAAAAGTGTACAAAGGAAAACATACATACAGTACAACATATAGAAATTTCCTATTTAAATACGATATTCAGACAATTTGATTAAAATAAGGTTTAGATTTTTAAATCACCCAGAGTCACTTTGTAGAGGACATGGGCATCATCACTATAAATTTGAACAATTTGGATTATATTTTTAGAAAAGATATTCTAAAGAAGGATTTCACTAGATGCTGCAGCCTGCCTCCCTCCCGCTCCTCCTACCACCTCGCTCACTTCCTGCCTCTCCGTGCTCTTGCAGAGCCAACCCAGGTGAATTCTTCTGGGAAGAATACAAAACAATGTTTGGGACAGAAGTGGGCGCTAGAATGTTTCTCTGCATTCTCTGCATGCACAGAAGCCACTTGCCTCGAAGCAAAGTGCTTGTGTGAGGTGGGCTGGCTCTAAGTCAACTTTTAGTGACCTCCAAAGGTTGCTAGGGATTCGAACTGCCGACCTTCTGATCGACAAGCTCAGCGTCTTAGCCACTGAGCCACCGCATCCTCTAAAATAACATTGGCATAATTCAAAAATAAGCTGCAAAATCCCCCCCCCCCCCCAAAAAAAAATACCCAGGCTCACTTAGCCTTCTATAACTCCATCCACATAAATTGTGGCCCCACTAAAGGTTGCAGATTGAGGAATTCTGGGAGTTGTACAAATGGCCATAAAGGGCCTATAGTTGCCTACTCCTGTTTTAGAACAAAGTGGTCAAAAATGGCTGGGAGTCAAGGGGATTAGTAAGTATAAATCTTTCACCTTCTTTTTTAATAAGGATGGAAAGTTGACTGGGCTCAATTAATCTTTTGGGGCGTCTATAGAATTCCATGCCAGTCCCTAAGATTGAAGGTGAGGTAGCTACTGACAAGACAATCTTGCTAGCATTAAATGGTCAGCCAGCAGTGACAGTAGGCTTCAGTTCCCATTATTATTATTATTATTATTATT